GGATTCATATCATATGCTATTTTTCTTTCTCATTCTGGCTTACTTCACTTAGTATGTCAATTTCCAGGCCCATCTTTGTTGCTGTAAATGTCATTATCGTTTGAAGTATATCCTTTTAACTCTTAGGTTTGAAGAAGCATTCAGGTGGAAGAAAGGAAAAGAAAAAGACGGTAAAAACCACCTCCCTGTTCCTCGGCCATAGCTGCTTCATCAGATGTTGCTTTCAAATGTTTCAGCACCAGATGAAGATTTTACTGAGCACATTAAGGGTCCAAGAACCGTACTTTCCATTTCACTATATGCTTCACAGTTTTCATACGTAGATGTGCATGTAGAAGTCACTCTCATTAGACTCAGGATGTTCAGGTAAATCTGAATATGGTTCAGCTAGTTGCTGATAGGCTTACAAGGAAGTTTTCTGTGAAATCCCAGTTCAAATATTTTTTAATAAATAAACACAAAAGAATAATGAATGGTCTTAACTAAATTTTACTGTTTGTTTTTTCTGAGCTCCACATGGAAGAAGATTTTCCAGAATAGATCATTTTAAAACCTATAAAAAAAAAGCCAGTAGGAAATCACTGGTTTCCCTCCAAGCAGTGTAACTCAGGGTGTAGAGTCTTCTGGTTTTAATCTCTTGTGCTCGGCTCCAAGATGCTCCCGCTTCTTATTTGCAGCCTGCGGTCTTGATTTCGACAGTCTATGATTTGTAAGCATGCAGTGCGGGACACAGTGACACTGTGTGCCTCTTATCAAGGGTGCAAATAGAGGAAAGTGATTGCTTCCTAATGGGTTGGTCTCAAGAATTTGCAAATGTAGCAATAACACCACCAAAGTTCCCAGAAAGAGCCTTCTGTGTTTGCTGTCGTGTATTTCTTGTTTTTCCTAGCTGGAAATTTAGTAATGAGTTTTATCTGGAATAGAAGGGTAGAACTTATTTTTATTTTCATCTGCCTATTTCTCCTTAAAATTAAATTGTATTTGTACTGTTTTCAGTGAGGAAATTGTTTTACAGTTGTTTATTAAGGTTATCATTTTCAATCCCCCTTTACTTATATTTACACTAGAAAATAACCCAGAAATATTTAGTTGCAGCTGGCAATAAAAATTTTACATAATAGCCAGGCCAGTAAAACTCTTTAGCTCCCAAAACAATGTTCATGCTAGTTATATAAAAGCTAGGAACCATGTTTGATTTTTTAAAAAACCGTCCTTGTGATCAATAACTAGGCATTTTAAAGAATTAACTGATTTACAAATAAGGCATCATTATTTTGTAGTTTGAGTTATCGGGTGTAATTTAGTTACTATAAGGCAATTTTTGGCTGATTTGAGCTTGCTTATTTTGTATACAAAATCAATATTCACTATCACATGAATTTTTCAGTGTATATTGTCAAGGTGTATATTATACACTACGTTCAAGGCACTATACACAAAAAGGAAAAAAATATAGTCCATGAGAATTACGTAAGTGAAGTGAGTATCTTTAAGCCAATAGCTAAAAATAAGTGAGTCACATAAAGCGACTAATCAAAATCAAAGGAGAAAAACATTCTTAGCACCATTCTCATTTTCTCTTGATAATTGGTTTTCTTTCTTCATAACTTTGGAATTAGAGGAGACTTAACCATGGAAGAAAAAAAGGCACACAGAGAAAATGAGAACTTGACAGACCCACAGGATTAACATCGGCTTTCTCTCCAGATTTGTTAATGACAGACTTGCTCATAATGCCCGTAACTTTAGGAAATCTCATTCATTGGCAAGCCACTTTCAGTGTTCTTTGTGTTTGCAGCAGATTGTGTATATTTGACTGCTTTTCTTCCTTGCATTTTCTTTTTTTAAATACTGGTCTGATATATTAGCTTTGGAATGTTGAAATAAAAATTGTCTCTCCCTGGATTAGCCTTTGAAAAACCAGAGAAACTTTAAAATGAGGGGAGAGCTGTGTCTTTCTTTAATACTCTGCTCTGTGTGTGTCTCTATTATTTCTTTGTAAGCAACAATGAACTGAGTGTTTCATAGTAGATATCAGTAAACCCCTTAAGAGATGAACCACCACCAAAGGAGAAGTTCGGAACTCAGGAGTAGTGGAGCAGGAATATCTTTGTATGAGGAATCTGGTCTATTCCCTTGGCTCTAGTTTAAAACTATTCCTCAATTACTCCTAAAGGCTAGCAGCCAACCCTGTACCTATGATTCCCCGGAGGAAATGCCACAATTCTCTCAAACTTTATAATTAGAATTTCCCCCCTATTTCACTTCTTGAATTTAATCCTTGATGATTATTTTTGTTTTGTTACTATAAAACGTGATGAAAGTAATATATTTTTTGGAGAAAATGTGAAGAACAAAGAAAAATAGGGAGAGCAATTAATCTCATTCAAAGATGGGTCAGTGTTAATCATTCTGATATGTGTTTTGCAAGATTTATTTGTATGCATACACGCACTTACCACATATGTAAATATCTTGGGGGAGTAGAGCAGTACAGTATATGCTCGTAAATGCTTGTTGAATGGCCCATTGAAAAGTAGAGATCGGTTCAGGGCAAGTAGGAGACCAAAACAGAGTGAACGTAAAAGGCACAGATCTCAGGAAAATGAATGAGCGACGTGAGGAACTATTATATTCACAAGACTTCCTTTTACCCTCCATGCTGAATTACCCAATTTTTAGCTTAAGGCGTGTAGATATTGAAATCCTGATCTAAAGCCTAATTTCTGGAAACAGGAAGCGTGTTGACTAGGGCCGTCCTTGCCAGGGGCTGTCTCATCTCCTTTGCACTGTGTCTCATTTTGTTTAAGGGCAAGATACCCACTTTCCCTGCATGCCCCAGATATACAGTCTCCTCTTATCCTGCTCTCTAAGCATCTGACTTGAAGGAGTTTGGGGTTGCTTCATACAATTCTGTCACTTTGAGGGACAACAGTAAAATCTCTGGGGATAGTTGACAGAATCAGCTTCAATCAAAGCATGAATCAAAGCAAAACTCGAATAGAGATCCGAATTTGAGTAAGTTTTATGAAGGAAAACTTGTAAATCTTTTAAAGTATTTCTTAAACTTACTCTCAAGAGATTAATCTCATTTCATATTCTTCACTGAGCCACATAAATTTCCTCTACGTAACAGGACCTTTACCAGAAGCACTCGTAACTGGGGCTCACTTTTTTCTCTTGGCCATATGTTTTCTTATCTCATAGGATGTTCGCTCTATGCAGTGAATCAGGGAGAACACAGAGGTGCATTCAATTAATTTCTTAGCTCAAAGGCATCAATCTGCAGTTTCTTACATCCATTACATCTGTTGGCAGGGCTTTTTATGAAGACTGACTACCATTTCTGAGACAGCACAAATTTAACCTGAGCGCTTGGACAGGTTTTTTGATGACATGGTTGATTTCCGAAAGGATTTCATTTCACACAAGGACATGATTTTGAGAAATGGTAGAAAAGGTATTGTGGAGCAAACTTGCTTTGCAAACTCTTTTGAAATCCATTTTTATTAAAGTCTAAGTCTCAAAGCAAGTGACACAAGTTTACATGGTAAGTTTCACCAATATGGTGAAAAGTTTTGTGATTAATTTTTTAATAGGTTTTACTTTTTAGAGCAGTTTTATGTTCACAGCAAAACTGAACAGAATATACAGAAGTCTCCTTTATGCCTCATGCCTCGACACATGCATAGCCTTTTCCACCATCAACATCCCCCACCAGAGTAGTACATTTGTTACGACTGATAAATCTGTATCAATGCCTCATCATGACTCAGAGTCCATGGTTTATATTAGGGTTCGCTTTTGGTGTTGCACATTCTATGGGTTTGGACACATTTATAATGATATTTTTTAAAAATCCTGATTCATTCAGCATATATTATTATTCACATACTGCATGCCTGGTGCTATACTAGAAACTGAGGTTGCAAAATAAAAGACACTTTTGTTTTGTTTTTGTTTTTGTTTTTCCTCAGAGGAGAAGACCATATGGTGGAGAGACTGACATGAAACCACTCTAACAAAATAAGGTATATGTGTACATGTTGCAATAAGGATGCATACAAAGAACAGTGAAAAGAAAACAATTGAAGACATCTTAAATGTTGGGTTGTTTTGTTTTGGAAGAAGAAAAAAATAAGAAATGGCTAGGATTAGGGAGAAAACAGGAAACAATCATGCGATGGGATAGGTATCGCAGTTACACTGGAAGTTGAATGACATTTAGTATTTAATTTACAAAGTGACTAAGGGCACCTTCACAATGAATTATCTGCTTTCATTCCAAACCTACGTTACTTACATTTGGAAAAGGAAATAGGACTCTTGCAAAATGAAATTTCCCATCTTATTTGGCTGTTCCCTGTATTAACTGTTTTTATTTTTTGATAGTTAATCTATATCTGTTCTTTGAGTATATTGCTCTTGATCAGCAGCAAGAGGTTTTTTTCCATGCAAAGTAAAACTCTGCCTAAATTTGGAAATAAGGAGGAAACTGACTTCTGCCAGCATTATTGCCAGCATTTTTACAGGAAAGGAGGTTACAATTGAGGGGATAATCTAAAATTATTAGGATCCTGTGAGGAAAGAGTGATCACATCTGACTTGGTTGCTCAGTCCTTGCATGTCTCCTCGGCAACCTGGAATCAGGATTTGACTCTTGACCAATCACTGGGAATGTGACCATAGGAAGGTTCTTTATGGTAATGATTGATGCTTTTGCTGTGTATACAGGGAGCCACAGACTGTGACATAACAGTATGTCCAGATTGCTTCACACAAACATCAAGATTGATGTGCACCTAATTTCATTGTTGGGATTCTGAGTTTTAATTGTCATGGTCAGTTACACAGTAGAATGTCTGTGTGACCAACTTCATCAAAACCTTGGACCCTGTGGCTCAAACAGAGCTTCCCTGGATAAGAACATTCTGCACATGTCTCTAGTTTGATGCTAGAAAGAAAACATGTTCTTTGTGGCTCTGGATGGGGAAGAACTTGGAAGGCTGTGCCTGACCTCTCCGGACTCTGCTCAGGACATCTCTTCTATTGCTCTTACTGTACGTCCCCTGCTGTATTAAACCTTAGCCATGAGTATAACCTGCTGTTGAGACCTGTGAGTCCTTCTGGCAAATTGAGGGTCATCTTGGGACCACCCCCAAACAGATCGATCATAAACATTTAAATCTCTTCTACATTTTACTGTAACTTATTATAGAATTCAGTTCAGGCGTTTTGTTGAGCAACACAGTACAAAGAATAAAAATGTTAATTCCATATTCTGTAGCGCTAGTTTTTTGTAAGTTTCATTGAGT